GACAATCCTTCAACCAATGAAAGCCTTTCTTACATCTAGGACAAGAAGTGGTTGGGGCCGATCCCCTAGGCTGAAACTGGGGACAGTCTCGACGAAAATGACCCAGCTGACCACATGAAAAGCAAGTGCCATCAAGACATCCCCCTCTTTGTTTTAATTGAGATGAAATTCCTGCAGGGAGAGTTCCCTGTAGAGTGGCTGCTATAGCCAAACCCTGAGCCATAGATAGGGAAAAATCAGCACATAGACGGATGTAGTCACTTATAGTTGCATCTCATTTACGGGGTTTAAGAAGGGCTTGACAGGTCTTATTGGCATTCTCATAAGCTAGTTGCTTAATTACTAAATCAGCAGCTGTAGGATTGTCAACAGTTTTAGTGACCACATCTGTTATGCGAGCAATGAAATCAGCATAAGGCTCACTAGGTCCCTGTTTTATCTCGGACCAAGGAGGTAGATGACTTCCTGAGGAAGGGAGACTGTACCAGGCTCTTAAAGCACAAGTGGAGACTTCTCCCAAAATATCTTGAGGGATTTGCAGTTGCTGCTCTAAGGAGGCCCATTTCCCTAATCCCGTATAAACAGGGAATCCCTTGGTTTCATATTCATCAGCTTTGACATCTTTTCCAGAAAGCAGTTTTCTAACCTCATCCTCATAGTTAAGTTATCACAATAAAAATTGTCCCCCAGACAAACAGGAATGAGCTACCGTTTGCCAATCAGAAGGAGTAAGATTTAAACCTGTCAATGTTTCTGCAAGTGAGAGAACATAGGGGGCAGTAGGACCATATTTAGTAGTTCCATCCTTTAATCCTTTCAACATGCTTAAAGAAACTGGTTCCCAGTCAGGGTTATCATGCTTATCATAAACAACAGGGAAAGGAAAGAAAGGATCACCCTGTCGACAGGCTTTTTCATAGCTGCATGGAGACAAGAGCGCCGTGGCGTTGTTTTACTTTTTGCTTCTTTAAGCCGTGGACGACGGTGAGTAGAAGACCAATCTGGGTCATGATATTGGGTAGCCTTTTTCTCTACAATGAAGTCATCCTCAAAATCCAGGTTATCAAAGTCTGAGCCAGAAGAGTCTGACTTTTGCTGTGCATCAGCTACATCTACTATATATTTAGAGGTTGGGTATTTCTTATCAGGTTTTTTTTTGTTTCGTTTTGTCTATAAGAGGTGAGGCCTCATTGCAGGCTGGAAATTAAATTTCAGAACCGGTTGTACTAGAAGAGTCAAACAAATCAGTAATTTCTGCATGAGTAAGAGCTTGTTTAACAATATAGCAATACACAATCACATTTTCAGGGGCAGAATCATTACCATCATCTTTATGATTCTTTAGCCTAAGTTTCATATCCTGTTCTACTTTTTTCCAATTAGATGCATCTAATGTTCCATTCTCAGGTAACCAGGAACTAATCACCTGAATAAACTTTAAAAAATCAGACAAGTTTTCCTGATCAAAATGAATTCCTTTTTTATGCAGAAGCTTCTTAAGAATTTTAAGATACATAGAACGAGTACTGGATTCTGTCTGACCCATACTCTTCAAATCCTTCCTGTTACTTCCCAGCCGTACTCTTTGACCAGGGCGACTGCAGTTCCCAGAACAGGGTCCTCACCAGACCTAGGCAATCCGTTACTTACCCTACTCTTCAGGCCCCACATTGGGCGCCAGTCTGTCAGGGTCTGGCCTCGACAAGGGGGTGGGCTTCACGAAGGTGAGAGATCTGGTAGGCGAGAAATATAGATTTAACACAAAGAAGACAGACACACAAGTTTGATGCAAGCTGACAGGCAAGCTAGCATATTGGACTAGCTGAGCCCCAGTCTTTTATTGTCAGAAAAAAAGGGAAATTGGCACAGGAGACAATAAGGAAAAAAGTAATTGTTCTTTCAAGGCAAGACATAAAATTATTCATGTGATATAGAACATGATGATTCACAGAGTTAATCTTTCAATATGTTCTGAATACGTCACGATTTGCATAATAATCTAACATTTATATTTCTCTGAGAAAAGGTCAAGCATAACTCATAATAATCCAAGATTCTTATTTCTATGAGAAAAATTCAAGCAAACAATTATAGTTTATCTATTAACTCCTGTTCCTGTTCTACCTGAGTTATTTGAGGAAGCTATACCGGTTTGGCTACTAGGATGAAAGTTCAGTTTGTTTTTATACATGGACATCAAGAGCTCATGTAGTTAGTTAAAGTTCAAATATGACTGAATAATCAGATAAGGAGCAGTTCCAACATTCTTTCCGGGTGGCCACCACCTGGTCCTCAAGACAATCTGTTCCCAGGACCTCACATACTGCCAATATCTTCAAGACAGTGACATTTACAGTGGAGCCATTAAGAGAGGCAATGTGTATATTGCTATTATTAGACACCAATTACTCAGAAGCTACATTCACTGGCGTAAGAAGCATAAGGAGCAAATATAGAATGAGCAGTAAGAAAATCAAAGTAAATTGTACAGAGGTAACCAGCCAGTGAGCTC